AGCTCAACTAGCTGAATTGTTACAACATAAAAGTGAGCTCTTCTACAGGAAATTCGGAGGAGGTGGTGGACTACGAGTGTGGTAAAACTTACTTGAGGATTTCTGTCTTTATATCCTTTCTTAAATTTTTTGCTTCTAGTGCTACCAGACCTTCTACGTCTGCTGCCAAGATTTCTGGCACATTGATAACTCATCTACATGAGCATTCCGACAAGGTTACACAGTCAGTATTTTCGTTGATTCGAACCAATCGTTTGAACATCTAGAACTGCGTTTTTGGAACTTCAAACCTTCTTAATCTTCATTCGGCAAGAGCTTGAGCATTAAACTACCTAACTTAGTTTACGGAACTTTCATTTTCACAAAAGTTTGTTCATTACCTATGTTTGGATGGCAGTTTTATATCAGATTGTGACGGAAGGGGATAATATTTGTGGGTTAATATCAAAAGTCAAAGATGTCGAAAACGCTTGCGAGTTTTTAGCCCGATTTCCTTTGCACCGCTTTTCTTTTGGCCATTGGGAAAGGATTCTCCTTATTTTGCTTAGGCAGTCGCAGAAATTGACCAGAAACTAGTAGCTCTTCACAAAATTTTTGCAAACGTGATTGACCACAAGTACATGTGCAAATCCGATCCTGGTCCTCTCAGGTTAGCTGTACAACCCGATCGGGCACTTTTTGCCTCTGCATCATTAGACGGCTCAGTTTTGTTCTGGAATGTGCAAAATGCTGTTGGAGAAGGCTCTGGAGCGATACGATCGGATGCATCCTTCGCATTTGACAAAAGTGGATTTTTCCGGGAGCTGCTTCTTGAAGACTAAATCTCTGTTTTAGACTATCCAGTTTCGTCTGTTGGATGGGCAAGCAACGAAATTTTGGCAATGGCAGTTGGAGATGGTCATGTTATATGGACCGATATTGGAGAAGGAGACATTCGCGTAGTTACGAAAGTTTGTTTTGTTTCTTGCAAAATTGTTATTCTCTATGAGCAGTAAGAGAAAACATCGAAATTTCGTGTGGTGATACTAATTGAAATTGTTCTAGTATCTTCAAAAACATCTAAACTTATTGGAAAGAGGAAATAGCTAGAAAAACTAAATCTCATGATCAATTGTATCTCTTGTATATCCTTAGAAACCCATCTTAGGTACAACTACCTAGCTTGGAGGGTCCACCTGAGCAGATTCATGTGTCCAACAATATCACTTATTTACGAAGTCACCATGGTGTAATATACTGTCTTGATCTCAGGTATGTCATTCGATGGTATTCGTTCTCAATTT